TAGGAACCCGCCCATCCGCTAAAAAATGTCTCCAGTTTAATCCGATTTAATAAGCTTTACCTTCCAACTTGCTGATTATTTTACGGCCAAGTTTAGCGGCCAAATTTTGGGCTGAAAATTCTTAACGTAGCGATAAATCGGCGCAACATAATGAGCGGAAGGCTCAGCCTAAGCCGAAGCGAAGCTGAAGGCCAAGCTTAAGCTTAAACCTGATCCTAAACCTTTGCATAAGCCAGAGCATAAGCCTAAAAAAAAACTTAAACCTAAGCCCAAGCCCGAGTCTGAGCATAAGCCTAAAGTCAAGCATGCATACAATTTTCTAAGTAGTTTAAGGTAAGTAAAAAGGTATGAAACATAGCTACACAGAAAAAGCGCCAGATTGAATCGGTTGGATGTAAATTTGGGGCCGGCGACAACGTTGTGGGTCCATGGGCCTAGGCCCCCAGTTGTAAAGCTAGGGAGCGCCGAGAAAGAGAGAGGGCACGGACAGCCAGATAGCGTTAGCTATCAAAAGATCGCCAACAAATTATTGAAACATCCGAAACCGGCAGTCAAGTGAGATTAATTTCGGTAATAAAAATAAATATTGTTCTTTCAAGCCTCAGATATCTTTTAAAAATTCTTGCCTTCATGGCAATTCTGCCCACCCGAATCTGGATCTTTGGAATCTGGATTCATTGCGCTCTACCTTTGCATTATTTGTTCTTGGAGGGATGTGGACACGACTGCGATTACTGTATTAAATTTCCGGGTTGGTGAAAACTTTATTTGTTCTGTTACTAATGCTTATCTAGTGTCTCCCCGCTTCACTTTAAAGCCTGTGTGGATCCCACAGAATTGCGAAACTCGCCTCTTGCGTGTTTTCTCGATGCGGAATCGTCACAGCGGCTTTGGGGACACGTTGCCATTTTAATGTTTGATTGTCTGCTGCTTGCGGACCACTTTTTTCAATCAATATTTGGTTCTGCTCTTTTCAGGTATGAGAAAGGTTTGACATGCGACTGGTTCATTCACTCCACTTTACTCGAGTCTTCGACCGTTGATTTGCTATCTCCCAAAACATATCCGGCTTCTAACGAAATTCTGGAACAAGAAACTACTACAGGGTGTCCCAAAAAAAATCCCCCCCCCCTAGCCGGCCGCAGACCCACCCGATTTTTACGATTTAGGTATCTATCGAAAGCTCTCGGAAAGGCGATGTCGGGACGCCTGGTCGATTTTCGAAATGTCGGAATTTTTTTATCATTTACTAATGTTTTTTGCGAAAAGCGCGGATTTTCTGATGTTTTTCTGACAAAAATTGTGAGAAGGCGATTTTTTACAAAAATCGCAATTTAAGATTTTTTATGCCTTTCCTGGCAGCCCAACGACAGCTCTTTGAAAACCGTTTGCGAAAACACAGCTTGGATAGCGCTTAAACCGGTTAAATTGCGTTTTGGACAAAAAAGCGAGTCCTTTTTGCCTGAAAAAGGCCGAAAATCGAGCAAAAAATTTCGACATTTCGAAAATCGACCAGGCGTCCCGACATCGCCTTTCCAAGAGCTTTCGATAGATACCTAAATCGTAAAAATCGGGTGGGTCTGCGGCCGGCTAGGGGATTTTTTTGGGGCACCCTGTATTATGCCTGAGCCCTGTGTTACGACTAGATCTGATGCCGATTTTCATACCATTGGTCTGTTATTCCTCTTTTTGGTTGTCTCTCCCCTTTGCCACGTTATTGTGGCGATTTTTTGGATCAAGAAAAAAACGTGTTTTGGAGGCAAAATTAGGAGTTGTTCCGTCTAACATGCCCCAGCCATCTGGTGTCGCGGTTTTTTCTGATGTGTCTTTGGAGTAACTGATTTGTGTTTTTATTTTTTGAAAAATAAAAGACAACTTTCAAAAAGGTTTTACAAAAAAATGGTTCGTATCAAGGCTTCGTTCGTTAAATACTAGAAAAAATCTTCCTAGTCCTAAATCGATCGGCTTTCTGGGGCCTTTCTAGAGGGTGATCGTTTCCCGCTCCTAGTCCTTGCCAGGCTTGCGAACTGCGGCGACAGCTGCGCGATTCCCAGTCCCAGCTCCTCTGCTGCTTTCTTCTCGAGCCTAGAAAGTCTCGGTATTACTTGAAATGCTAGTGTTCGGCATTTACACTGTTTTTGTTATGTTTAAGACATCATCCGATGGCGCGTCAAAAACTCAATCACGAGTTGTAATTTCAGCTCAATATAATCTACACACCGGCAAAAATAACATTTGGACCTAGTTAAGACGGCTTGATCTAAACATTATATTTTCTGGTCTAGTTTTTCATCTGTTTTCTGGTATTTCAATCAATTAGTTTTCTGCATTTTTTAATATTTTCTTATAAGAATTAGACTCCTACCAGTATTTTTTGTCGAGAATACGTAGAAAGAAGCTTGTTAGCTACGGGGACGTCTTTCTCGCAGCGTCATTGGGTGGTTTAACGCTGAAATTGAACAATTAATCTCACCATTTGAAACTGATATTACCGTATTTCCTCTAAGATTTCACTGTCTATCATTTTAATGTGCATTCACACGCCACAAAACGCAAAAAAAATGCGGTTTATGCTTGACACAGCGACTTTGAGCGATTGAAGCTGCTTATAGGAAAAAAATTGTATTTTTGCTCAAAATCCGGCTATTTTAACACCGAATTTCGGAATTTTTGTCGATAATCTAAGCCCTTAAAAAATAACCCCGGGGCCAAATTGGAGAAAATACAGTACCTGTAATCCGGTTGTTAATTTGCCGTACTTCCTGGACTGATTGATTTTGTCTAGGTAGAGCGATTGTCGAATCCTCGACAAGCTCGAATGTTAGACCTTCGCTCAGGCGCGTAAGCCAAGAAGATTTTTTTGCGCCATCACCATTTTCACGGCTTCCAGATTTTTGATCAGCTCTCGAGACCTCTAGTGTGGTTCTGAGTCGTCGATTTTTCCAGTCGTACGATAGCTCCAAAAATTAGAATATAGGAAGATAGCGTATTTCCAACGATGAAAAATTTATGTTGGTCGCGGATTTCCATGCGGGGTGATTCGACGCATGCGATGCAGTTTACGGTGGAAAAGATTTGGGGCTGCTTATCCGCGTCTTCTCCTTGCATTTATTTTGCAACTTTCTGGTTTCTTCCTTTCCTCAGATTGAAGTGGATATGCGAATGCGTTTGCGTGACTTTTAATGGCTTTGCCAGATCAGAAATATAACTTGACATTGCCAGAATCGAATTGAATTTAAAGCTGTTCGTTTAGCCGTTTAGCCAAGAGGCCTTTCGCCCCATTGTCACAAATTTGAGATTTTCGAGCTGGTTTCCAGCAAAAAAGGATTGTCCTTCATCGTCGTTTGTTTTTCAAGGGATAAGGTATTTTGAAAAATAGAGAATAGTAGGCAAATATAATATTTTCAACGGCGAAAAACGTATGTTGGTCCGGGAATTCCATTCTTGGGCATAAAAAAATCGATGCTTTTAGGTTTTTGCACTTTCGCTCGTTTACGGAGCCGTGAAGGTCTCTTTTTAGGTCTTCCGGATCCCAATTGTGCTAGTTCTGATCATCGGCTTTTTACAATTTTCGGAGAAAATCGAACTTCAGAATGCATACAGAAGGCTCACTTGTCGGAGCATCTTTACGACGTTATTTCTCATGTTTATTGGGTCAAGGAGCTGCTCGCCATGCCGACGTCCGCCTTTTCTTGATTCGTTTGTTTCGCACTTTTCGTATTTCTGCATCATCCACGTTTTCAAGTGGATATTCGAAGGCGTCATCTCTGGATCATAATGAGGAAGGTTATAGCGGTAATAATCAATTAATCTACTTCATAACTTAATAACTGAATATTTTTGCGATGAATTATTTTTCTGGTGTGAATTGTCAAATTCGAAAGATTGTAAAATTGGCTCCTACAAGCCTAGATGGCTTTTGGAGAAGTCATCGGCATTGGAGAAATTACCCGAGGATGAGTCGCCTGAAAATTAACGCTAGACTAGGTATTCTCATTCAAGCAAGCAGAAAGAATTTTGAAAACTGCAAGTGAGAGGTGCACTAGCCTTAGAAATTTTGTATTGCAGGCAAATCCTGACTTTAAGCACATTGCAAACCTACCTTAAAAGACAACTTGCATAATTAAATAGGAATTAGAATTAGCTAAAATGGCTAGGGTTTATTTTACCCACCCCCACAGCCGAAACGTTTTGACAATAACTTTTTAATTTTACATTATTGAAAGCTCAAATTAAAACCTCCCCTTAGTAGATTTGACGACGCTCTATCGAATGGCGTTGCAAAAATCCCGACTAAATAAGCGAAAAAACCGAAAACTTTGAGACACCCTCAGGTTAACTCTTACCGCCAAAACAAGGTCAAGATTGTCGTTAAGGTTTTAGCTACTCCGGTGTATGGAAATGACGAAACATTTTAGAAACGAGAAGGTTTGCGGCTTTTTCGTCTAGTTCAAGTAAGTTCGAAACAAAGACAAAGGATTTTAGTACTATTTAGCTAAAACAAATACACGATAATCATCTGGAAGCTAAAAATCGGGTTGTTTGGGATTTTGGGACAGGAGTTAAAATAGAATTAAAAGTATTAAGATAGAAAGCAATTTAAAAAGGGATTTGAGAAAGCGATGCATTGCTAACACCGATCGTGCGTGTTGTTGGGCACGAGTGGACACTATCTGGGGCCCAGTTGTAATTTGAGAGAGCGAGGCGAGGGAGAGCACACCGACGTTCAATGAGGTTATGCGAAAGGGAAGGGGAGATAGAGCCAGAAATCACTACCAATGCTAAAATAACACCACATTCGATATTTTGGAATCTCCATAAGATGCTTTCTCTAATACCGCGCCCCCAATTTTTTTGCTAGTTTCGTTTAAAAAGCACAAAAAAACAGTTCTGTTTGTGCTTTTTCTGGTGCCAGCGTGCATTGATAGTGCTCGATTTATTCGATTTCGAATTATTAAATTTATTCGATTAGCATTATCGTTTATCATTCCTGCCGATCAAAAATGCGGCTTTAGGCCCAAATGGTTCGATACATCGCGTTTGAGCTTGAACAGCATCTAAAAGAACCGTGCAGTGGTTAATCTAGAAATCTACAATATACCTCCGTCGTCCATCCGACGCCTCGTTGGTTCTTGTAATTCACATGGATCGGATTCCAGCTCTTTGTACAATTGATTATGGATGCCACGCGCTTTCAACACTTACCAAGGTAATTTTTATTCTGCTTGTAAGGGGAACCACTGGCCACCGTTCAGGAACAGTCTAAATGGGTGGAGTCGGTTTGCCTGAAAAATTAATTAGTTCTACCAGGTCGCAATTAAAGCAGTGATGTTGCCCGATTTTAAAAGGAAACAGCGTTTTATTCCGTCTGCGAAGCCTTTATAAGGCCCTTTCTGGTTTTTGTACTGTTATAAAGCAAGTTAATTTTTTTGTAAAAACTATCAAAGGCAGGTTATGTAGAATTAATGCTATATCGATGAGATAAATCTCGAGCCGTTGTCATGACTATTTGAAAAATATCTGCTTAAAAGAGCAGCAATTTTGAGAATTTTTCAGTTTTGGCGAATCGCATTTAGCTATGCTCGGATGCTAATCCATTAAGCAACAAAAATGCGGTAATGTGCGTCGTATAATACGGGCCGATATCTGCCTGCTGCGCCAAATCTTTCCCTGGATTTTTCCTTCGAAAACTTGCCGCATTCGAGTCTTCTAGGGCATTTCGTCCCATACTGCTTTGGCGGATTGACTTACAAGCTAGCGGACCCTACCAGTGGACAATCAACGGATGCAATGACTCGTGAATTTCCGTCTACCCTCGGTTTCCACCAAGCTGTAAATAAAACACGTATTTTTGGGTTGGAGAGTGAACTCACGGGTTTCGCGTCTATTGCGATCTCCATCATCAAAGCGGAGTAGGATGAGATGGCTCCTAAAACCGACTTGATTACAACGTACCATGTTGAATAGCAACGTATAAACGGTGCGTTCGGCGCTTCGGAAAAATTCCCTACTTGCCGAAGACTCCTGTTGACGGCTAGTTAAAACAATAGATTTTCTTGCCCACTGGTTCGATAGTGAACCCCGAGAGCTTCATCTTGATACCCTTCAAGTCTCGCTAACTACTAAAAAGTTCTAAAATTTAGCGCTTCAAAGATTTTCAAAACTTTTAACGTAGAGTAGGAGCTCGTCAAAAGTCATACAAAGCAACTTGTGTGGTTTCTTGATGCCCAACATATTTAAGCATTCTGACAAGGTTTTGATTGACATTTGACAGCATGATTGGTTTCCGTTCGCGGTATATTTTGCCCCACTCCATATTTTTCGCACAAAAAACGTGCCGGTTTACTTTTTCAACGTTGTTGCCAAAAGGGCATTCCATTATCGAGGTAGTGAATAAAAAAAATGCAATCAATCCATTCCCATTTGTAATACAACCAGGGTTGGTCATTTTCGGATCGGACTGGATCCGGATCTGGATCTGGATCGGATCCGGATCCGGATCCGCCGTAGGATCCGGATCCGGATCCAGATCCAGGGCGGATCCGATCCGATCCGGATCCAAGGAAATGGATCATGCAACCGAGTTAAGTGCTAATTCTTAGATGCAAAGATCATTTCTGCCCCTGGGCTATGTAGTTTTGCGATTAACATGACCGAATCAGCATCAGAATCGAGAATATTCCTTCCGGTCCCTTTTTTCCTCGGATCCGCATTGGATCCGGATCCGAGCGGATCCGGATCCAGATCCGATCCGGATCCTTACCGATCCGGGTCCATCGGTGAACAACCCTGAATACAACCCAAAATTAATCGCTGAGATTGCCTACCATTGTCGACCAAGCCGCTCAATTCGTCCTTATCTCGGCGCGACTTGGGCTCGGACTCTGAAGCCAATCAATGCAAAGAATTTCTGAAAATTTCCGTTATAATCACTGCTAGTTAAACCCTTTTAAATAGGGACGATCATCCCTTTAAGCAATTTTAATGGTCAAAACTTAAGGTTATTGCCCCCAAACGGATCAGTTTGCCCTGCAATGGATACTAGCTTTAAAAAATATATAACCTTCCATTGTGATCCCCTACTTTAATACAACCGATGTGGTATCAAAATCTCGCAACTTTATGGTCCCACAATTTCAGAAACGCGCAATTTTAGAATCTCGCAATAGAATCTCGGATTCAGAATCTCGCAATTTCATGATCTCGCCATTCTGGAATCTTACAATTTTTTAATATCGCTATTCCCACGGGTTAGCTGCATTTTCGGAGCTCCCCTGGATACCAGAATGCGAGATCCTGATATTGCGAGATTGCGAAATTGGACTATTTTAAAATTACGAGATTCTGAAGATTCCCAATACAACTTCTTAACGGGCCGTTTGAACTTTAACCCCTGAGGTTCACCCTATGAAAGAAATACAGCAATAAACTTACGGTGATTGTCACAGCAACACTTGTCGTTGATACCTCGCAGTTCTGTTTTAGCAATATGTGGTTTAGATCACGCAGCTGCCAGTTTCCGTCAGGTGTTTTTTACTTTCGGATATCATTCCGGGTTTTTCCATGGCTATTTTATTTTTCTTTTTTCCGTTTATCACATTTCTCAGCATCTGCCCAAGATGGCGCCCATTAGCGTCCAACCGGAAGCCGGGACAGCGAAAACCGATCATACGTTTTTACTAACGTGTTATCAGGCCCCGGAAACGTGTCCTTCATTTCCGTCGGTTCGTTTTTCGTTCTGCCATTAATCATGAACCCCAAATAGCTGTCCTGCGGAGCAATTCCTCCGCTATTTTGGTGTTTTTCCAGGGATTTTCTCTTCTTTCTTCTGAACACGCATTTCCGGCTCGAGCCATATGAATTCCAGCTCCATCAGCCCGAAAAATAGTGGAAGGTTGAATAGTTTTTTCGCATTAGTTGCGAGGATCGCGGTGAATATAAGTGGCTTCATAATTTTTCTTCGGTTTGGAAACGGATTTTCATTACAAGAAAATTTCTTGAAAAAAGCATTTCCAAAATAATATATTTTCCAAAAAAATAAACATCGACTGGAACTCTTATTGATGAGGACCTTTGGATTTTCTTGGGAACTTTGTGTTCAGCTTCGTTAAATTTCTGAGCCTCTGAGAATTCTGAGCTGGTTTGATGCTTATTGATCAATTGCCGTTGACTTCATATCCTAGTTTCTTAATTGGTTGCAAGCAAAAGTCTCTCCAAAACCCGGTCGTCTCCAATATATTTTCTTCTTCAAGAATCTTCAGGTCTGACTTTCGTGGTAGACCCGTGCTCCAATTCTACAAATTTTGGATTGCGTTTGGGGAGAACAGTGTATAGTTAGGTCCGTAGTTTTGGCACTAAACCAATCAAAAAGAAACTTGGCCGCGCAACCTTTACATTTCGAGATCAAGATTGTTCATATTTGGTGTGAAATATTTGCAAAGTGACGTGAAAATTTGGCACAGTTGTTGTTTGTTGTTTGTTATGGTAGGTCCTGCTCCGTCTCGTTGAATTGCTGAGCTCAATTGATCCAACTCTATCTTTCTCTCGGGTTATGCAGTGCCGCATTATTCAGTGCCACACTCTCGAATAAATTACTTTTTTTGAGGGTATTCTAATCACTCCTTCTGGCCGATCATTATCATCATTTTGGATATAGTCTTCCTCTTCTTCCCTTATTCGGATCTCGAAACAGTCACGATTTGTATTTTGCGCTGTGGCAAGTTAGCAATATTTTTCTACAGATTTTCACGTTGTTTTTGGGTCGATTTTTTACATGAAATTGCAAAAGTTTGTTTGGTAGAATTATCCAAGAGAGAGGCTCCATCTAAAACAAAAATGTTTGTAAAGCTAGTTTGTAAAACGTCGTAACGATCAGGAGGAGGATGATGCGAATTTTGACTGCGAAGACCTAGCGATAAAAGCAAAGGGTTTTCGAGCATTTTAAAGAAAAGCAGCGGAGAAATCATTGCCCAAAATATGCTGATAGATCTCACAAAAATCGGTTTCAGTTACTTAAAAACATAATAGCAAAAATTTTTTAAATTCCGAGAACCAGAACATTGAATAAAACCGGAGCTCGACAAAATTAATTTTCGGCGAAATTATTTTTGTCGAAAAAGGAAATAAATGCTATTTTTTTTTACAAAATTATGCCAATTCGCTGCCGAAAATTTTAAGTTCAAATGTCCGACAAAAATATCGATCGGAGGTCTTCAGTTAAAGTTTTGGAAAAATCTGATATTTCTAGGAAGACTATCGACGGGCTTTTCATGGCAGAAACCAATTTAGACGGATAAAAATTCAAATAGAAACTGTTTAGGAAACGCAAGAAGATCCTAATTGGGAAAAGCTATGAACTGGGGAAATGCTGCAGGAAACTATCCGAGCGGCTCAGATCGATTTCTCCCCCTTTTTCTGCCTGCTGGCCGAGCACGACTAGGAAAAGAATGGGAGGCGGCCGGGAGGAGGAAAAATGTTCCGAAAGCGTAATGATTACGCATGAAAGCGGCTCACAGGCACTAGAAATTAATTAAGATTCCATTAGCTCTTAAAATTATCAGGTTGGTAGATAAGTCCTGTCACAAATTTTTGAAATCGCTCTATAAAGCCGCAGAAACGTTCAATTTCCACTTGCGATACATGATTTGATAGGTCTTGAGATGCTCCACCGTGGGTGCAGCCGGATAGGGTCTGGAAATTGTGGGTCGCCGAGATAACGGCCCTTGAAAATTTCTGAATAATTACGCAAAAGTGTTTTAGCGAGTTATCTCTGCATAGAGCAATTTGCATGCGATACCTCTAACACCAATCAATAGCTTTCGAGGAGTAGATATCGATAGATGTTGAGATCATCAAAAACGGACATCAGATGGCCGAGATACGGTCCCTTGAAATTTGGCCCATTTCTTAGAACTTTTCTCGAAATCCCATACATTTTGACAAAATCTTCTCGGTGCGTGCAAAAACAAGGCGGCAAAGTTTGGCCCAAATGTGCAAAATGTATGGGATTTGGGGAAAAGTTCTAAGAAATGGGCTAAATTTCAAGGGGTCGTATCTCGGTCATCCGATGTCCGTTTTTGATGATCTCAACATCTATCGATATCTACTCCTCGAGAGCTATCGATTGGTGTTAAAGGTATCGCATGCAAATTGTTCTATGCAGAGATAACTCGCTCGAAAGCTGTGACTAGATTTTGAGCGAAACTTTTCGAAGCTGTATCTCGGTGACCAGCGACTTTGGGGTCCTAGGAGGGTCATGCTGAGGTAGAGCGTCCGAAGACCTATAAAATCATGTATCGAAAGCCCAAATTGGATGTTTCAGTGGCTTCATAGAGCGATTTCAAAAAATTGTGACAGGACTTATCTACCAACCTGATAGCACGCCCTTATTTATGAAAGTGGAATTTCAACGATTTAAAAATTTATCAACACAAAAGTTGTTGTTTTTTCTTATCTTTTATGTTTAGAAAACCAATCTCCCTTAGCCATAGATGAAAAAACCACAAGAAATCTGCGCGGAAACGCCAACAAATTTGTGTAGCTGAAGCCCCCTCTGCAGTGTGATTTTCCAATATCTCAAGTACATTCACTTTATTTTATCACGTAAGCAAAAGCAAACGTTTTTTGTTCGGGTGCAGATATCCGGTCAGGCCAGAGGAATTCCAAGTCGATCACTTCTGCAGTCCCCACGCCGATTTATCGATGCAAACAGACACCGAGCCAAACTGAAAGACGGAACTGCATTACTTGAAATAAAAAAAGTCCTAAAAGTTTTTAAAGCTTGCTGCAGCCGAACCGCTTTTGATGAGGAAGCTTTGTAGCATTGTTTTTTTTTGCGTCAAAAATTTATCTTATGCATGTTTCTCACCCAGAAACAATTTTTTGATATGTACAAACAAATTGTCAAAAAGCTCTGGCTGTACCGTCTTAAAATCACTCATCAGGTTGGTAACGGACTACGATTTCCCGGTCAAAAATTACAAGGAAGCTTTCAAAAAAATCCGAAATTTGAACGAATACGAAAATTTTTATGCAAATTGGATGGGTTTGTTTTAGCAGTTGAATGGTTAAAGTTATCCTAATCTTTTGAGGCAGCAAGTACCGACAAGGAGGCGACTTTGCGTGTCCACGCAGTTTCGAAATGAGACCTAGCCTATTTGGTGCGGAATTCTCCGCTGAAAACCCAATGTTCAAAAACTGCGAAACGACAAGAATAGAAAAATTAGTACGCTGCAAAGCAGAACAATTCTTCAAAATTACCTAGCTTGGTCGTTTTTCACGCTTTAAATCTTCGTAAATTTTTGATTTTAGTAGTTTCGTAGATTTTAAAGGTGACGTTTTGATCAGCAAAAATCCTACATGAAATAGGATATTTTAAAACTCCGTGCACACTAAAAAACGTCTCCTTGTTCAATCTTAATTCACCCATCCGCTCATCAGACTTCACCATTCAATCTCCAAACCGCTGTTCCTAAAGCTTACTATTTGGCCCATTTCGCCAATTGATCAGGGTTTCCATCAATTCCTTGCTGGCCGATAACGGTTTTTGCGGAGCCGCAGCCTATTTCGATATAGGAATATTCACTTATTTAATAAAAAGCCTCACTTGGGATTTCCTGCTACTCCGCCAATTCGGGTTTCCATATAAAATTTCATCATGTATTTGCATGCCAGATATTTTTGCTGAAATAAAAAATTATATTTTGTCATAAAGTTCATCACATAAGGTTTGAGAAGTTTTTAGCAATTTAAGAAACTGCATGTTATTGTTCAAGCCA